TTGGATTTGAAAATTGCTCTCATTTTTTTCAAATTATGAATTAATCTTATTGGCAAAAAAACGTCATTCTGTGGATTGGCTGTAGATTTTCAGTCTGCATGGTAAAAATCTATATGGCAGTTACAAGATTTAAGAAACAGCTGATGGGAGTAGAAAAGTTTTATCATGAAGATAGTAGTAAATAGATCAGTTAATAGGCGCTAACTTCAGCAGTTTCTGGATCACTGTATAGGAACCATCATCTCTGAGGGGCGATCCAGTGTTTGACTGGATGGTTTTGCTCCTCTGTTTTGAGCTAAGACTCAGTCTTAGCCAGCAATGCATGACTGGTTTGAACAATGTTGTGCAAGTGACAGATGCCAGGCCCTTGAAGCCATTTACAGCAGTTTACATCAGCTGAAGACACAGCCAGTGCAGAGCACAGGTAGCCTGGCCCGAGTACTTCACTACTGAATCACATTTAAAGAATCTCCCAAGAAGGAGAAAAGCCACATTATTTTAGAGAGCCAAGATGAAAGACATATGCATGGCATATACAAGGTAGTCCCTGCATGTCATCTGGGTGGAGGTAACCAACCCTAAATACATTCTTAGCCTTTGGCAACTGTAGGATATATTGAGCCTGTACAGTGAAGTTTTAAGCTAGTGCATTCAAGCTCACTTCTGCCTCAGACGGAGCCTCTGAACGATCAGTGACCACAGCTCAGCTGAATCGCAGTAACTTTTTAAGCTAAAGCCACTTTGATCAGTATAATGCCAGTTATTCAGCCCTGATAGATAGGAACACAGCATATGCCCTTGAAATCATGACTTCCTGCATATTCAGTACCAGGAGCCTTTATAATTTGGAAGTGTAATCACTTGGAAACTGAGGAAAATGCAATTTGCACATACCCTGTTCCCCAGAGGTATAAAAGGCAAATATAAATTGCTTTACTCATCTCTGAGAGAAGACCCAGGAGCAAGCATGCCTATCCATACACGGCTCAAGTTATTACCACTATAGACAGACATTTATACAAGGAGCTTGGGGGGTGCCCAACAGATCTGAAAGTGATATTACAAAATTAGTATTCAAAGTAGCAATGACTGAATTGAGTGGAAATCTTGAGAAAAAGAATAGTAGCATTTAAAAGTAATAGCTTTCCTTTAAAAAAAAAAAAAAAAGCATCATTGTCTTGCTGGTTAATATTTTTTTACTTTAAAATAAAAATAAACATTATTTGAGGTAATCTACTGTAGACAATTAAAAAAAAGAATCTATCTTGAAGCTAGTTTTAAAGGGCACTCAGGAAACAACTTACTGTGATAAAATGCAATTTAAATAGTTGTTCTTTTAATAGGAAACAAAAGGTGAAGTGTTAGTTAATGTAAATGAATTTGCTGCTATATCAAATTCTAGCCGTAGAAGACCTAGAAGAGTCTACTTCAGGCCAATTGCAGTCTCTGGTTCAGTTCTCCATGAAGGAAGAGACTGACTTACTGCATTACCATATGAATTAATATCTCAATCTGGAGTTTGATCTTTTATTCTGTTAAATTAAGGTTTTTGGTAGTACAGCTCCCTTGAAATACTGATTTTGATTTTAAGATGTTTTAATAATTTTCTATTGTTTGTTTAACTCTAAGGGAGTTTTTTTCCATTTTTTTGACTAATATTGAAAGTTAACTTTAGAATAAGTAATTCAATTTTGTTCTGATACATTTTTGTAGAAAGGGTAACCTTAGCAATTCTAGCTGTCATTTTCTTTCTCTCCTAAAGTGTCTTCTATAGCTTTTACTTTACTTTCTGCCTCTGCCTCACAAGGAACTTCAGTTATTATTATAGCTTGTTTTAAAATAAAACAATGCTTAGAGAACCCTGGAGGTTTTTATTGACAGCTGTGAGAAGGGAGATCACATATTGCCTGAAATCCCCTCCCCCAGCTAAATTAGGTGACTTTAAAAAGGAACTATGAAATAGAGTAAAAGTTGCTCTCATTGCAACATTGTATTTCTTGTGAAATTAAATCAAAAGATAAATCCCCTGTCATTGCAGCGGAGTCACAGCAGCTATTTGCTGTTGTAGGGCATCTGCGCTTGGCGTGCACACCTTGTGTCTCAGCTGACTGTAGCACAAAACATCTGGGAGGTCCATAGAGGCATGGTCTACAGTATCAGGAGTACCAAGATAAATATTTGTTTAAATACCTGTTTGAAATTATAATATCTTGTGGAAGTGGCAATAAACAATGGAAAAGACTCTAAATCCCTTTCTTCACCACATTTTCAGTATATTTGCTACGTAAGTTTTTCCTGAGACAAAGTTTTCTCTGGACTATTTTGGATGCTAGTAGCATTAACAAAAGTAACTTTTTCACAGGAGAGATACTTGCAATAACTGCTTCACTGTCTTCTGAAGTCAAAATAGTTGCCTGTCTGGGAAGTGAGGCCTTGAACACTTCTCTAAACACCATCAGCTTTCACAAACAAATGCTGTTACTTCCTTGACAAGGGACTCTGATTCATGTTTGACAGTGCCTGCCATAGAGGAACCATTCATCTGAGTACAGAGACAAAGCAGACAAATTCTAAAGCCTTATGTATCTAAAGTTAGGTTATTAAATCCCCGTTGGGGGCGCAAAAACAAGGCAGTCTGTTTTTGAAAGAGAAACAGAAGACATTTTCAATGGGATTGGGATGTTACCTGAAAAGTAAAACATAAAATGAGTGCACCATCAAGACTAAAGCCCAGTAGGTGACAGGGTATCATCCTGCTTGGATAGAAGGCTGGAAACCTCATTTGTGAGTGTTTTTACTGATTGCCACAAGAGTTAATTTAACTTACTTGGCCTGTCTAAGCTTTCATCATCCATCTCCTATCTGTAAAGCAGCAATTAGTTTGTTGGGTTTTTTTAAATAAATCTGAGTCTTAGATGTGTTGAGTATTAGTGAGGGACAGCAGTGCCAGTAGTATTACTGCTAGGACAGTGATTGTCAGCCTGTGATCTGGGCCAGATTTCCTCTAGTGGAAGCTGCTATTTAAGGGTTGTACATGCCAAATGCCTCTGGCATTTGTGCCTTGACAAATGTTCTTTTTTTTTTTTGTTTTAGGGGAAAAGATTCTGTGAAACACTTCCATGTTGAACATACAGGAACTTCATTCAAATTTGGATTTAATGAATTTTCTAGCTTGAAGGAATTAATCATGCATTTTGCAAATCAGCCTTTGATTGGAAGTGAAACAGGTAAGGAGAGCTATGTGTTTGTATGAGCGTGTGATCTAAGTAAAGCTTCACACACATCTAAGTCAAAGGAGCTTCCGATGTGTTATCGACTAGATCTAGCGCTGAAGTGTTCCTCTTCAGAAATTAATGTGTCTATTAACCTCAGGTATCTAAGATGTTCCTCTTTGCTGAAGTGTTCCTCTTCAGAAATTAATGTATTAACCTCAGGTATCTAAGATGTTCCTCTTGAAAAACTCTTTCAAGTACTCTGAAGACAAGCTACATGCAAGCTTGCTGGGTTTTTGCTAACCAGGGACATGAGCTGCTTTTGATTTCTCAGAGGGAGAATGAAGCATTTCAAAATACACGTGTACTGGGAAGAACGGCACCTTCTCAAAAAGGGCAAAACCAAAGCAGGGTGTTCAGTGAGGAACTAAATCTTCATCTATGAAGTTGAAATCTCCCAATAAGAATAAATGGAAAAGGTACTTGAAATTGTTTAGCTCCACTATTCTTCATCCAAGGAGGAAGTCTACAGTGATATGTTCCTCTTTCCTGTAGAGAATGTGGCCTATATTACCTCTCCCTTTCTGCCAACAGTGGATCAGCCTGTTGATGCCATCTGCCATCACAGTGATTTGTCTTTTTTTTTTTTTAAAAAAAAAAAGAGAAAAGCCTAAGCTTATTTAGCAGCCAACATGCTGCCTGAATTAAGAGTCAAAAGATTAAACCTGATTCCTGCAAGTGAGTTGAACACCACTAGGCCAGAATCCCTGGAGAAACAGATGCATATTATCGTGGTAACTTAGGTTTAGCTTCAAATGTAAGAGTTGAAGGTGTGTCATTACAAATTAGTGCCCAAAACATCAGTATCCTGTGTAGAAGGTGTATGCAAATAACTCATAGAGTGATAGTAATTACATATGCAAGAGACCAGTTAAATGATAGTTGGCACATGCAGTAACTGCAATATGTCACACACTAAATATGCACCAGTGCTCTTCTAACTCAGGCATCAAATTCAGGATTCAAGGGTTGCTTTGCAAATTTTTTTCCCCCAAGAAAAATGCAGTGGTACACTCAATATGGCATTTGTATCTTGGAAAACATTCTCTTTTTAAATTGCTTTTAAGAGATGTTCAAACACAGAGTTCCTACCTGTTTCTTTTGTGCCAGTAAGCTATTATTCCTGTGAAATCAGACATGCACCCACAGGCCTGGTGCTGTAGATATCAGATGACATATAAACCTTGTATTTCCCCATTCCTTCACTGCATGTGTTACAGACATTAGTAATCAAGGCATTGGTGTTATGTGACCTCTGTGGACAGGATCAGCACTGCTGAAAGATGGGCTCACTTGTCACCTTAAAGCTCCCTAATCAGATTCTGCTGGCTCTGTGAAACCTCTTTAAATTGAATGCACTACAGAATAAGAAAAGCCATTTGAACATCCCATCAAGAAACCTTCCACCTTACCTTACCATGGATAGCAGTAGAGAAGAAGAGAGACTTAGCACTTAGGCAGTGTTCCTTCAGATACAGGTGTCAAATATCTCCTGGGTGGTAACCAGCTTACACCAAAACAGGAGTAGGGGCTCAAAGACCACTCTAAGCCAAGTGTCAGCGTGGCATAATGACTGTCCCAACACAGGGGCACACAGCAGGCTGGCACAAGGGCTGGCAAGAGTCTGATTTCTGAGGCCACACTTCCTTTCAGTGAAAAGCTGCAAGCAAACTTTAGCTCAGGCATTAGCAGAAAGTAGTTGGACCAGGTGTTTTTAGTACTTGTTATACTTATAAACAATTCTGTAGAAACACTGTGAGATCAGCAATGAAAGAGTAAAGCAAGGCAGCATTTTTCATCTCCTCCTTGCTTATGGACAGGATTTTATAAGACAGAGACCCACAAGACAGAGTATGTAATGGTTTCCACTATCTTCCATTTAAGTTTGTCTCACCAGAGCTAGTTTTGTGTCTGAAGAGACACACCAGACTCAGTCTGAGCAGTACTTGAACACACAGGCCTGCACCCCTGCAAACCAGTCCATGGAGTGCAGGGGTTCTTTTGTACTGGGACAGCTGCAGGATTGTGCTTCAAGCCCAACAAACCTTGTCTTACTACAGCTTCATTTGCCTCTCCAAATTGCTACTTGGACTCACATCTGTTTTTCTGCAGTATAATGTGCACACTTCCTTCTGAACTACAGATAATTAAAAGGAAATTGGGGCTACTGTGTTGTGTGAGATGGTTTATTGAACAGGCAAGCTGAATCTATTCAGTAACAAGGTTAAAGCAATATACTGTCGTATTTCTATATTTTTGTCTTTGTTCAAAGTGACAAGGTCAACATGTTATTCTTACCTGCTTGCTTTGTTTGTCAGTTTTTACATAAATTATTTTGAAAACATAAAAACTCTAAGTCATTACCCAGGCAAAACAGCCAAAGGCACTTGGAGCAACATTTTCAACAACTGAACTAATTTTCATTCTTCCTTAGAAATAGGTATCATGCACAAACAGGCAAGAAGAATCTTGCTACAGTGCAGCTTTTACTAGTTCTTTTGTACAGTTACCAGATGATTCTGTACAAGTACCTGTTGTGGAGAAAAAACATGGAGAACTTTCTAGAAAACAAATACTGTATAAAACATTAAACTAGTCCTCCCAGTTCTGCAACAGGGCTCCTTTTCCATGGTACACAGATGATGGTACTCATGATTCTGTGCAACAGCTTAAGAGTAGTTTCTGTAGACTGGTGATGGGCTTGTTTTCAACTTCATTTTAAATGATAAAGCATAATTTTTCTGCAAGGCCAGAGAGAATTAAACTGATTTTGACTTTTCACCTACTGCAGGTTGAATATATCACATTTGCATACACCCCCTGTGCCCGCAAACAGATTTCAGACGGTTACTTCAAATACAATTTTTCCACTTCCCTTTGTAGCCCTTCCCATTACAAAATATACTTTAAACTTTATTTCACTTTTAAATTACTCAGTCACTTGTAGGTTTCAAGTCCAAGTTCCCACCAATTCTAGCATCCCTACTCTTCAAGAGCTGACAGTATCAGCGTAAAGTGCAAAGGGAGCAGCATTTGGTGTGCTGTGACATTATTTTTAAAGTAGTAGCAGTTACTACTTTAAGGAGGTTCTTCACTATTGTGAATAGTGTAATAGATTCACTATTGAGAATGCAGCTTTTTGCAGAGAACGTACTATAAACGTGACCTTAGTTGGAGAACAAAGCTGTAATCGGAATGTTACTGACTGGGAAGAGCTATGGCACAACAGTTGACAGCGATGGCAACGTGGGCTTAGGTTTAGGAAGCCTGTATCCGAAGCTCTGACAGATTAAGTGATTTATGCAGCAAGCAGTGGCTTGTTGGCAAACTCCGGATGACTGTTACGACCTCATATCTAGTGTAGCATCCGCCTACCCGCCCAGCCAGCCTCCTCTGCAGGAAGGGAACTTAATGTGTCAGGTGATTCCCTGCGAGCACTAGTAAGTTTAAAGGTTTTATAAAGGTTCCATATATTTACAGTTTTCACAGTTGCTTGTAAACAGGCGTGATAAATGAAGATGTAGTCACATCTTCATGAATGCAGTGAAAGTGTAGGTCATACGTAGGTCAGCATTTCAGCTCTAACTATGAAATCTGTGTTTTAATTTGTGCTATATTACCTAGTTACTCTCTTGAGTTTTCACCACTTAACCGTGCATTCAAAAGAGGTTTAATTACCTGCTCCTTAGAAAAAGTGAAGAGGGTTTTCACTCTTGTTCTCAGAGATGGAAGAACAAATTGACTCCCTCTGTACAGGGATGAGGGAATGGATTTAGGCAAGGTCCAGGTGCCCAAGGTATTGAGGACTCTGAGCAACATGAGAGGGCCAAGGAAGCGAGACTGGGCAAGTGAATCCAGCAGCCAGTGCCTCTCTAGTCCACATGGGTAGATTTTTGTAGAAAATACCCTTTGCAAAGTCTAAACTATTGTGATGATGCATGTTAGAAATATTTGTCTAGTTTTATCCGTAGGGGAGAGCAATTTATAGCATCTGATTATTTTCTCATGTGGGTACGGCCTGAGTCCTGCCCCCTTCCAAGGAAAACCCCTTACAGGGAGTGTCGCAGAGATCTTGAGGAGGTTATTAGCTCTTTTGCCTTTTTAATTTTAGGAAAAAGTAAAATTAACCATTCAACAAACAGGCAGCTACTGCCAGTTACTTTCTAAGACTGTCATGCCAGATGACTTGCTCCTTTTTCTCTCCAGGAACCTTAATTGTATTGAAGCATCCCTACCCACGGAAGGTGGAAGAGCCTTCCATTTATGAGTCTGTCCGAGTTCACACGGCGATGCAGACGGGAAGGACAGAAAGTGATCTTGTTCCAAATGCTCCCTCAGTAAGTTGTGTTGTGGTGGGAGGAGAGGGGTGCTTCTCCTGGCCCAAGTTTAGTATGATTGCTGGAGTGAGCTATGGAATGACACCAGTAATTCATCGCTTTATGGGTTCATAAATACAGGAAGTCTTTGTTGACCAAGGGAAAACAAACACAGACTTGCTAAGTACAGTCCAGTGACAAATAAAGCCTTTAGAGTTGTCACTGAGACCTTCAGTGATGTCACTGGGAAAACACTGTCTGCAGCTGACCTAGGTGAGTCTGACCATACAAAACAAAGAATATATAAAAGGTTTTTGTTCTCCTATGAGCTTTCTTCTAGAATGCCATCTTAGCAGTAGTATTATCAGGAATTAAAAAAAACCCCCAAAACCCCAACAAACCCACACCACACAAAACAAACACAACACTTCTCACATCTTTCTGACAACACTCATCAGGCTGTATCAACAATACGTGTGTCAGGTTGCACAGTAAACCCTTGTTTTGCCAAACATCCTTTACAGCCAGTGAGAAGTCTCTCTCCCTCTCCCCGTGGGTGAGGAAAGGAATACAATAAATAGCAAAACCAAGTAACTGCTACAGGATTTACCACATTTTGTCTCACTCAGACAACATGAGGATTAGATGACAGAAACCGGCTAATAGTCCTGACAGACATAAACTCATTCCTACTTACTATTTTTGCAGTCATCTTTGTTTGTTAGAGTTATTCTGCACAGTTAGCAATATACAGACTCCTTCCTAACTGGGAAGGAGGAAGGAGCATCTCTGACTTTCTAAGTTGGTTAAAAACTGACTTTTTGAAAAAAATATTCAAAGATGTGCAAGACAGGCAGGGACACGTTTGCAAAAGGAAACCCAAAGCTGAAGCACAGTACAACCAAGTTAATGAGAATATCCATATCCTAATAGGTACGTTACACAAAAGGTTGGGGTTTTTTTGGCATTTTCACATTTGGATTTTATTATTTTACAATCATCTTGTCTTAAAGCAGGAAGACACCTTGCTGTATTCTGACACAGACTTAAACCCAAAATAGAGTGATATGGCAGAAGGGCCTCCACCCTTTCAGACCCTAGTAATTTTGAGCACAGTAAAAAGCTGTGTCATGTTAAAAGCTATGCCTTACTGGTGTGAGAAACAAGAGAACATCTTCACATCCATTTGGGCCACCTGCTCTGACATCTGTGACTCACTTGGACAGTAATTAGAGACTTTAAATCCCTAGTAACTCATATCTAAGGGAGACAGGTGGTTTCTCCAGAACAGTATTGCTTGGAACAGAGAGGAAAGTATTTTAATTACATACTATATTTTTTGAGAAAAAGAGGAAGAATTATTTTAATATGAGTTAATAAAGTTGATAAAAGAACCATTTCTGATGTATCTCACAACCAACCCTTCAGAGCTAAGTTCCACTTTAACCTCCAAAGAAACTTGACTTCCTCATACAACCAATAAAAAGACAGTATTTTTTCAAGAGCAAGTAGTAATTAGCTTGTTAAGAATTTGGTTTTCAGAAGTCTGCAGTTTCACAATGAGGTCCCTGCACAGAGTTTCAATATCTGAGAAGTCATAAGGTCCCAGCATCACTCATGGTGGCAGAGAAACAGTTAAAACCCAATTTTTTAATTTTCAGTAAGCACACTGAAAGTAACAGGTTTTTTCCTCTCAAGCATGTGGCTGTTTGAGAGAAGAGAATGCCCAAGTATAACAGCACTTTCCCCTGCACTAGAGCGAATTTTGTGGATACTTCCACTGTCAGCTAAGCCCCAGGTGTTTCTGGTTACAGCGTGTGCTGAGGCATCCATCTGACTTTACTAAATGAAATGTAACTGGAACTATTGTACTGCATTTGGTTGAGAAGATGCAGGCCAGAAACTTGCTGAGGAAGGCACGGTCTAAGTCTAGAGATTGCCTTCAGAGCCAGCACAGGTCCATATTTACCCTCGTGTGGGACCCAGCCCTGGGAGGGGAGCACAGAAGTGAGGACAGAGCAAGTGGCCATAGGAAATTTGAGGCTGCTCTTCCATCTTTCAGATGTAGGCAAAGAGGAGGACGTGGGAAATAGAAGCAGAGTTCAGTCTCTAACCCTGATCCCTTTCCTTGTTACTTCACAGCTTGGTACAAAAGAAGGATATTTGATAAAACAAGGCAAAATAGTCAAGGTAAGGAAAACTTTTACTCCTTGCTTCCACTCTGCAATCAGTCCCTGAAGCTAGAGATAATGTGGAGCTGAAATAGTTCCACCTGCATTCCCCTGCAGAGAGGAAGTTTGTGTTTTGAGCAACAACAAAGTACAACTGTAAACCAGAGGAGTCAACAGCTTTAAAGGTTTTTCTTTCTCCTAAGAAGCATTACACCAAATTCTCACAAGACAATTACCATCCATTCTTGATCTTTCAGAATTGGAAGACAAGGTGGTTTACACTGCATAGGAATGAACTTAAGTATTTCAAAGACCAGACAGTAAGTAGCAAACACCAGGTTCTACTCTTTAAACCTCTACAGAGGCAGCTGCAGCCTCCTCAGATCTCTGGCTTCTCGCATCTGTATCTCAGCTTCTCAAGCTAAAGCTTCCAATACTGTCAGAGGGATTGAACCTTTCAAATGAAGTCAGAGTTTTGCTGATGATTTCAACAAGAGAGGGTTAGTAAGTTTTACAGCTGGAAAACATTTACTGTGCTCCATCAGTCTTACCTACTAGATAGAGCTGTTGTTCACAGCGCATGTTTTGGTTGCTTTGTTCAGGGGATTTTAAGCTACCAGCACATCACTACTTCTATTGGTAGCTTTGACACACAACCTAACAGACAGTGGTGCTTTCAAAATAATTCTGCAAATATTAGCAGTGTATTTTTGCATTCCTCGATTTCATCCTTTTATTTCAAGTGGTCACACACTGTACATAGAAAAACATTCATTTAAAAATTTCTTCCTTCATAGTACTCTGCCATAGATTAACCTGCTGCATCTGGGAAAAACAGTGTGTCCTTACAGTTGCTGCTCCATTTCTATCTTAAACTGAGTAAAAATAAGAAATACCTCTAGAGTTTCTCCACCCTTGCAATACTTCCAGTTCAGGTTCCTTCATAAACACAGCCAAACTGTTAACCTCTTCACCTCTGCCAAGCCCTGTCTCAAGTGTCTAACAGATTTTAACACAACAGCAGACACAACCGCCCTCTCTCACCAAACATTACCATTTATAAGCAGTTATGTATTTACAGGGCCTTCCACCAGTTTTCATTTCAGTTCAAGCCAACTTGAATTAAGTTTCCAGGATAACATTTCAAAGGGCAGCACTCCAAACATTTGAGTAACATTTGTGACTTACCAGGCAAGAAAGTGTCTTTGTCAGGTATAGGGCCTCCTCCCAGGCAGCAGCTCTGTTTCTTGGTGCTCCCATTGTTGTTGCTGTGGGGTTGCAGATACCTGCAGGTGAGCAACTTCCTGCTGGCCCTGGGATGGTATTTGTTAGCACACCTCAGCACAAGTGACTTTCTTCTGATGTAGTATATAACTAGCAACCACTGAGCCAGAAAAAAAACATAGGAAAGGAGAGAAAACAAGACACCCCTACACCTGATGAAGGACCATGAGAACAGCTAAGGGGGTTTGGGCAGAGAGCAGGGTGTTCTGCTTCAGCTGCCTCTTCTGAAGCGCTCAACAGTGTGAGGCTGAAACAAATAAGAGGCCTCTCAAGCCTAGAGAGAAAGAAACTCAAATGAAACTCATCTGTAGAGACTGTCTACATCCCTGCACCTGAGCACTCCTGGACCTGTGCCATGAAACTCATGCACACACACTGCTCATGCAGTCAGTCACCACTCCTGCTGCTGCAGCAAGCACTGCTTCAACTCTCTTTCTGCACTTCTCCCTACCCAGCTTCATCCTTCTAAAGCACTTAGGAATTAAGTACATCTGCAACAGCTGGCTAGTCCTGGTAAGACCTGTAACCATCCCCTTGTCTCTGTAAACCTTAGCTGGAAGTGGTATCAGATTTGCTGCTGTGTCAGTTATATGATAATGCATCAACCAAACCCTCAGCAGTCTGCACCTAGCTCAAACTTTCCTGCAGTAGAAATTTCCTCTGTTGTTTGTCTGGATCTGATCTGACTCTCCTGCTTTTTTTTTTTATATATTTAGCTCAATCAATCTCACATGAGCACTGATGTTACATTTGCTACTTTGGGTTTATGGTGTTACAGCTATTGTACTTATGCCTGGGAAAAGCTAGTGTGTCTGTGAAGGTCTAGGTGCACTGAACATGAACTGAGCTAGCCTTATCTTCTGTTTTCATGTGTTCCCATTTTAAAACCATTTTATTTTCAAGGCCACAGAACCGATTCGGGCACTTGACTTAACTGAATGCTCAGCTGTGCAATTTGACTATTCCCAGGAAAGAGTCAATTGTTTCTGGTAAGTTGCTGTGCTTTCTCCACCTTGCTGGGAGCCAGGAATAGCCAGGGAGGTCTGAAATGTAACCACTGGCTGCTTCTGAAAGCTCCCGTGCCAGTTGTGACCCTGATCTTCCTCTTAATTCATGAGTCTGTTTCTGTCAGCCAACCTCTGTCAGTCCGGCATGGCTTTGCCAAATTACCGCTGGCAAAAGGGATTTTCCCTGGCGAGGAGGAAGGGAGTAGCCAGCCCTGTGCGTAGTGGGCATTTCTTTTCCTAATTCTGCAGGCATGTGTAGTTGTCACCTAGACCCACGGAACCTGGGTACGGTCCAGTTCCCAGTTCAGACGTTGCTCCTGGTCACACAGTACCGGCTCTGTGCCCAAATGCAGGTCTTTTGTCCGTGTGGGCCTGGGGCAGCATCTCCCTGAGCTGTAAATGACAGTGAACTGTTCTTGGCTATAAACCTGGTGACTGGACAGGAGCACGGCCTCCCTGCCCTGCTCTGTCTTAACAACTTTGGTGCAGGGCAGCTGGGGCCAGTTTTAGGAAGGACTGCTGCCGTGATTGAGAGACGGGGCACAGCTTGATGCAAGCAAAAGCCGTTTATTACAGTTACCTACATATATTTATACTTAGCAGAAGACAGCGTGTTTTAGACTGATTGGTGTTTTAAATATCAATATCGAGTTACAGGCTCATTGGTCTACATTTCACACTGGGCACACACAGATTGGTCAGTATCACAAGCCCCCTTTAAAACATGTACCTCCCCTTACTACATTCAGCCCCCAATACAAGAACAATAGTTCTCCTTTAACAGGATGGCTGCGTAGCCTCACAATCCTGATATGGACAGAAGGTCAGCACAACCCGCTCCTTCTAAAGTTCTTATCTTATCCTTCCCAAGGCCTGTAGCCGACAAGCTCCAGCACATCTCCTCCAATTAATTTAGCAGTGCCAGGAGTTTTGCTGAGATCAGCCAAATGCTGTCCCACAGACTGCCAGTTCTAGCAATTTAAGGAATAGTTGTAATTGTTTGCTTGCAGCTTAGTGTTCCCACTAAGGACGTACTACCTGTGCGCAAAAACCGGAATAGAAGCTGACGAGTGGATTAAAATACTGCGATGGAAACTGGTAAGGTGATGTCCCGTGTTACACGACGCTACTCCCCAGGCCGCAGCACCCTTGGTACTGTCATCATAAAGCCCCCAGCAGTTCTCAGTATCTGCGAGACAGGAGCACTTGTTCTGGCTTCCAGGACTAGTCTGGAATACATAGTTTTCACGTAATGTATGTGCCTGCAAACCCACTTCAGCATTTTCAGGATGCCCTTTTAACACACACACTCATTATGAAAAAGAAATTATTTCCATCTTTAAGGATGTCATTGTGTAGATGGTAAACACTATGGAGCATCAGCACAGGCCGCGTGTGCTGGGTCACAAAGCAATGAGAAGACAATGTAGAGGCTTGCAAGGGTTACTTCCTTAAAAACGCAGTATTTGGGTTGGTTGTCCTCACTCACATCCCCATGCACGCAGACAAACAGTAATGGATGTTTCTTCTGTTCTAGTCACAAATACGGAAGCAGCTGGAGCAGCGTAACGCCACGCTCAGTTCCTAGCTGCACCCCAGTACTTCTGCTCCGCTGGCAGGAACTGCCTCTTTGCCGAGGGGAAGGCATCACTTACACGAGGACCGTTTCAAATGTCTCCATTACTCACAGCAGGCACGTGTGTGCGTCTGTTCCCGCACACGGGCGCTTGCTTCCAGCCCTGCACACAAAGGATTTGTACAGCTGAGTGCTCTCAGGCTGTTGAGTCACGTGTGGGGGCGGTTGCAAAATCAGTGTTGGTTTGATATGCATGGTGTCTGTCTGTCTGTAGCTCAAACACCTGGTAACTAATCACAGAAGTAATCACTGGTTAAAACTTTTGTGGTTATTCAGAGCACTCTCCTGGTAATTTCTTGCAAGCTCCATCACAACTAACTATTAGCAGCATACTCTGCAACCTTGAGCCTCTTATTTAAAACCATTCCTTTCTGGAAACATTAAATATTTCTTTTGTTTAGGCTCTAAGTCAAAAGAAAAATTACAAAAGTAATTACATTTTTGTAAATAGTACCTGTATTACCATCCAGAGAATGTTTTAAGGCCCTTTTCAAGGTGATGGATGAGTAACGCTTTGTTCTGGTCAGATATGGTTTTGTAGCATTCAGATTTATACCGCAGTGGTGGCTACAAGTGAGCAGTTGTTTCAAACAGCGTACATAGGTAATGGTGAGCAGCGTCATGCAAGCACACTTGTTTACAAACTAGGATCATGAGAAACAGGCAGCTGGTTCCTGGTGCACATATGAGAGCTGCCACAGGACCCTAAGGACGTGTGACAGGGCTCTGAGGAAGCCTGTGCCTGTGGCAGCCACCAGCATTGTTAGTAACAGTACATGCTGGGTCCCTTACAGTCCCCCTTGAAAATGGGATGGATTTTGTACTTTTTCCCCACACAGAGAATTCAAAACAAGGTTTTTGTCCAGAACTGTGTTTAGAATTAAGCACTGCTTGCTCTGTAATAAACAAGATCAGTAACAGAAAAGCGCCAAGTACAGTAAAAATACAAATTTAAAAGAATACATCTTGCACATAACCTGGTGTAAATTTCTGTCGATATTCCGGAAGACTCACACAGGTTGAACAGCACTGTGGCTTGCTACAGAGGTGAGAAGTGCAAGCCCAGTGCTGTGGTGCTGTAGTCAAAACAGATGTTACATTTTGGAAGCCAAGTTTGACACACTGGAGGGTCCCAAGACCAGCTTGGCCTGACCTCACAGCTTACTCAGCTGCAGGACCCCCTGAGCAATCCTGCCCCTCTTGGAGGGGAGGGGAACGAGGACCCCCCATCCCCCTGCCTAACAGTGAAGTTTCTGCTGAAACAGCGTACACGAATCTCTCCCGCTCTGCAAGTGCTGTGGCACAGGGCTTGGTGTTGCTCCCACAGCAGGTCAGTGTTCAGTAGATGCCTGTACTGTGAGAAGACTGAAGAAGGGGGGGAAAACATACTGGAAGAAGAAAGAAAATCTAGATTTGGACATAGGAATACCATTTTATTTCAACTTAGAAATTCAAAATATTTGTAAATATTTTTATACAGACTTTTCTGAATAAAATGTCATTATAAAACTACTGAAGGTCTTCTGTATTGTTAAAGCTTCGCCCTGCATTTTCCCTTAAAGAAGTGGTTTAACAAACTGGCACCTCTCATTTAGTTTAAAAGCTTTGATGAGTTTTAGTGAGATAGAGGCAGCGTAAGGCAAGGATAGAGCCACTGCCTCCAACAGCATCAGCGTTCTGTGCAGGCGGCTTGGAAATGGAGGCTGGCACGAAACCACAACAGCAGCCTTCCCTTCCACACGAGCAGGCTGCCTCTAACAGCATCAGAAGCCAGTTCAGCTCGTGGTGCCACAAACTGAAGCCAGGAAAGGAAAGGGCTCAGCTGGCCCAGGGGGCAGTGGCAGAGCGGAGCAGAAGCTACAGCAAGAGTCGGCCTTGGACAGAACACAAACGCTTTTTGCCAGGAATGCACACAGCCTTGGGGCTCAGTTCCCAGCTGCTTCTGTAACAACCAGCAACAGGAAGCTCAAGCCAGGAGCTCAGTTTAAATGGAAAAGGGCTGACATAACTTTAAATCTCCAAGAGAGCTTTTGAGCCAGGAATTCCCAGTCCTCACTTCCAGCACCACTGTCTTCCCCTCATCCTGCCTGATGCTGAAGGTGGGCAAGGTACAAATGAGGGGGCAGTGACATCCCAGCCTGAGGCAGAGACCTGCCAAAAGCTCTTGGACCAGCAGTGCTTGGTTTTAGCACTGGAAGTCCAGAGCAGTCACCACCAGGGGAGTGCAGGGGGTAATGAGGAGGGGCAAAGAGCCCCTGCAGCAGGGCTGATCCCCAGCAGCAGGAAGCCACTCAGCACCAACTTCCACATCAGCACAGGACCGACTCTCTATCCGCATCACCCGACTGAGAAACACACCTGTTAGATTTCAGCCTATGTCCTGGATGTCGTGTGTGCACAAACAAGAGACCTGTTCTCTCTGCAGAAAAGCTGACGTGCTGCAGAGTATTATGGTGTGACACAAGAGTGGACTAGGCTCTGCCATTTAAAAATACTGCATTTTATTTGTATTTATTTACTTAGGAAAACCTAAGGGTAAATAAGCTGAGAATGTCACCAGTGATGAACACATACAAAGACTATGAGACATGAGATCTTCACAACCTTATGACACAAAAACCCTATGAAGAAGTGAGACATTGGGTGCTTTTATCTGGTCATCAGGAAAACCCCTAAGGCAACAGCTTTCACAGAAATAGCTTTCTTAGTGGAAGCAGGACGCAGCTAGCATCCAGATTAGTAGCGATCCCTTGCCAGTGTGTCACCCATGTGAGAAAGCTGGGGTATTTATTGATTGTACTAACACATCACTGCTAGTAAACTTGCTCTCACAACACTCT